TCCCTCCTTCCCTCTCCCCCTCCCTCCCTCCCCTCCATCTCTCTTTGTTTTTATGTCCTGGCCACAGTTTCCCTTCCCTTCTCTCTTCCCAGAACCTACCCAGTATTACCCCTCTTTGCCAAGTCCCTAACCCATTCCTCCTACTTTTCTGTTCAGAAAGGGTGGACCTCACACATATCAACAAAACAGTGCCTATTAAGTTGCAGTAAAACTAAGCACTTCTTCACAAATTGAGGCTCAGTAAGGTGACCCAGTATAAGAAGTAGGGTCCCCAAAGCCAGTAAAAGAGTCAGAAACAGCCCCTGTTCCCCCATTAGAAGTCCCACAAGAAAACCAAGATACACACTTGTAACATGTATGTACATGCCTAGGTGGGTCCCATGCAGACTCCCTGGTGGTCAGTACAGTCTTTGTGTGTCCCTGTGAGCTCAGTTTAGTTGGCTCTGTGGGTTTTCATGTGGTGTCCTTGACACCTCTGGTTCTTACAATACTTTTTTCTGCTCTTCTGAAGGATTCCCCTAGCTATGTCTAATGTTTGGCTATGGTTCTAAATCTGTTTCCATCAGTTGCTGAATGAAGACTTACTGATGATAATTGGGCTAGGCACCAATGTATGAGTATAAAAAAATATCACTAGGCATCATTCCATTGACATTTTTTTTCTCCAATCTTGTTTGGTTCTATCCTAGGTCTCTAGGTCATCCACCCTGTGGGTCCTGATACTCCAGGCAGTATCAATAGTGGGTTTATTCTCCTGTCATGGGTTTTAGGTAGACTCTATCTGTTGCAAATAGAAGTTTCCTTGATGAAGGGTGAAGACTATAGTTGAAACAGTCAGCCTTTGAAACTTACTTATAAGTATAATTATATAGATTCAACAGGTACAATTAGGAATATATGTATGTATATATGAATACATACATGCATTCAATAAGAATTGATGGAAAAAGATCAGAATTTCAAAAAAGAGTTGGGGAAGATATATGGAAGGTGCTCTGGGATATCTTTCTGTACTCTGTGAATATGTTTGGCTCTGATTGGCTGATAAATAAAGCTGCATTTGCCTATGGCATGGCAGGATGGAGTTAGGCAGGAAAATCCAAGAGAGATAGTGAAAAGAGAAAAGAGCTTGAGAGACACCAAGGAGAAACATGTAATGGGATGCAGGTAAAGTCAAGGAACATGTGGCGATACATAGGTTAATAGAAATGGGTTAATTTAAATTGAAGGAGCTAGTTAGCAAAAATCCTTTGATTGATTGACCATATAGTTGATAATTTATATAAGCCTTTGAGTGATTATTATATAAGCAGCTGCAGGACCTCAGGGCTGGGCGGGACACAGGAAAACTTACAGCTACAGGAAGGGTTTATACAGAGTAAAGGGAAGCAAGAAATGTAATTAAAATACAATAGCAAAATGAAAATAAAAACAAAGAAGTGCTAACGTATTTAAGAATCTATTTAAATTACAATTGGATCCCAAGTTGTGTGTGTGTGTGTGTGTGTGTGTGTGTGTGTGTGTGTGTGTGTGTGTTTAATGGCACCATGTGGTAGAAAGTTGACCAGCCTGAAGTTTATTTTTTAGTACACAAACTTCAGACTATCACCTGTACCTCACAAACACTTATAGCTTTGTCTATCAACTAATATGGTCTCCATTCTGTGTAGATGTAACCAACCGTCTTATTAAATAAGAAACACAGAAACAATGTAAAAGAGAGAGACGAGAAGTCAGAGCTCAGAGCTAAAATCTCACCCTTCCTCCTGCTGTCCCAGCTTCGCGAAAAGAGAGCTATTTCCTGTGTGTAAATCGATTTTCCAGTCATTCTGCCTTCTCATTGGTTGTAAACCCAAACACGTGACTGCCTCATCACTGTCTGAATATACAGCCCCCTAGGTCTTAAAGGCATATGTCTCCAGTGCTGGCTGTATCCCTGAACACACAGAGATCTATGGGATTAAAGGCATGTGCCACCACCGCCACACTCTGTCTATGGCTCTAATAGCTCTGACCCCCGGGCAACTTTATTTATTAACATACAATCAAAATCACATTTCAGTACAATTAGAATACCACCACAATTCTGCTGGCTCTTGTTTTTAAATCAGGACAAAGAGCTAACCATCACTGATTTTTTTCATGTTTTAATATACCTTCCTTTTAGTACAACTTATTTAATATATATATATATATATATATGTATATATATATATTTAATATACACACACATATAGAGAGAGAGTTAGTATTTATAATAAAGTCATATCAAAGTTGGATAAGGCAAACCAACAGAAAGAAAAGAGCCCAAGAGAAGGCACAAGAATCAGAGTACCACTCCTTCACATACTCTAGAGGTCTATAAAAATACTAAGCTAAAAGCCATAAAATATACACTGAGGACCTGGTGCAGACTCTGAAGGCCCTGTGCTTGATGCTTCAGTCTCTGTGAGTTCATATGACCCTTGCTCAGCTGATTGAAAGTGACTTGTTCTCCTACTGTCCTTCAGTTTCATTGGCTCTTACACTCTTTCAGTTTCTTTTTTTTGTGGGGTTCCCTGAGCTCCAAGGGGAGCCATTTGATAGAGAAACCCCATTTAGAGTTGTGTGTTCCAAGGTCTCTCTTTCTGTCTCCCTCTCTCTGCATAACAGCTATCTGTGGGTCTCTGCATATGTTCCCATCTGCTGCCACAAGAAGCCTCTCTGATGATGGCTGAATAAGACACTGATATATGAATACAGCAAAATATCATTAGGAGTCATTTTCTCGTGGGTTTTTTTTTTGGTGTGTGTGTGTGTGTGTGTGTGTGTGTGTGTGTGTGTTTAAGACCAGTAGTATTTGGGTTTACCCTAGGTCTTTGTGCTATCCAGTCTCTGGTTCTTTGTCACCCAAGCAGTATGGGTTCCATCACTTGTAGTATTCCTTAAGCCAAATCAGATGTTGGTTGTTTGCATATTTTGCAGTCAAGCAGATTGTAGATAAAAGGTTTTGTGGTTGGGTTGGTGTTTACATTTCTCTTTTGGTAACTTGTAGATTACCTTCCAGTACAAAAGACACTAGAACATAAGAGTGAAGGTTCTATGTAGTTACCAAGTCTAACTTTCCATGTTCAATGAGCTGTGTGGGGGGACTTATCAGTTTGTAGATATCAACCTACTATTTTGTCATTTTCAATGGACCTCTTTGGTTAACAACTTAATTGGATGTAACCTGGTTCCAGTACTGGAAGCTTCATTTTGTGAGAGTAGATGGCCAGTTGGGACTGCATCTCCCTCATTACTCAGAAAATTCATTAGGATCATCTTCCTATATTTTAGGAAATTTCCACTGTATGAGGTTTCTACATCATGCCTCAAATGCTTTTCAGGTCTAGCTGTATCTCCTCACATTTCCTCCCATAATCCCATTTTTCCTTCCTCTCCTATTTCTGTCCCCCCAGCCTGCTCCAAGTCCATTTAAAAAATGTCTACTTCCCCTATACAAAGACGTTCATGTTCCACCTCCCCTTCCCCCAGTCTCTTTCTCTATTCCTAACCTCTAGGTCTAACAACTGTTTCATGTTTATCATTTACTTAGCAGCTAATATCCATATAGTATGTGATACATACCATATTTATCTTTTTGGATCTGGGTTACCTCATTCAGAAAGATTTCTTCAAACTCCATCCATTTGCCTGCAAATTGCATGATGCCATTATTTTAAACATCTGAGTAATACACCACTGTATAAATGTATCACATTTTTTTTCTATCTGTTCTGTTGAGGAACACCTAGAATGTTTTGTATTTACTCCTTTGATGCTATTTTTCTCTTCCATTTCAGAGATGACCAGGATAATACAATCTTGTTAATATATAAAAAAATGATTTTTGACTGATAAATAAGAGGATTGGTATTTATATTAGATACATAAATTCACTGTGGTTGAAGATTTTTGTCTGATAAAATTTTTTAGAACACCAGAAATGAGAAACCAATCAATACATTATGATAAGTTTTAGAGACTTTTAAAAATTTGAAGTAGTTATTTTTATTTTATGTATATGAATTTTTACTTACATATGTATATGTGAGCCAAGTGGTTTCCTCAGTCCTGGAGAGACCAAAAGAGAGCATCTGAAACCCTACAACTGGAGGTATAGATGGATGTGAGTCATTTTTCTGATTGTTGTTTTGGGAAATGCATCCAGGTCACCTACAAGAGTAATATCACTGAGCGATTTCTCCAACCCCTGGAAGAAGGTTTTAACTACTTAACTAGTGGGCTTTCAATAATAACTGATTTTTATTGTAGAATGAAAAGGTATTTGAAGTGAAGGAGTCACTGCTGTATTAGTGATCATGTAATAGGTTCCCTGGTTTGGATTAAATCTGTGTGTTCAGATTTAATGTTTGGATTAAATCTGAGAATTCAAATGGGGGAAATTTGAGTTATTTTTAGCTTTACAGATTGTGTTCTGTTTTGTCCAAACAGCTAATATTTCATTAAATGACTTCACCTTAAGTATGCATCAGGAACAAAGAATAAAATCTGAGAATTTGTCACTTACACATTAAGATTTAGTACAATGCTACCTTTGTTCTTTTCGATTGTCTATAAATACTCAATAATGAGAGCACTTCCTACTTTTAGAAGACATTAAATTTAATAGTTTTATAATATCAGCCTCATTTGTTTTCTATATTTAGTGTCTTGAATTTTTTCCAAGTCGTCACATAAACATAATAGCAGTCTGTACATGAATATTAACCAGTATAGAACAGTCTAAAGTATTAAAAATAAAAAGATTATTGACTATGTACAGGAAACTTGTCCAGAGATATTTTAAGCTTCTCTATTAATTTTCCCTTACATTGACCTTCACAGGTTATTTGTTTAAAGTTGTGTATGCATAAGAGATAGGGAAATAGCTCAACTATTAAAAGCATGTCCTGCTCTTGAAGGAGACCTGCACTTATTTCCTAGGACCCACAGTGAGCGGTTCACAACTGCCTATAATTCCAGTTCTAGTAGATCCATCCTACTGGCCTCCAGAGCTGCTTATACTCACATGAGTACCCACATACATACCCACATGCCAATACATGCTTAAAAGTAATAAAAAATAAGCCTTAAAAATAAGGCCTAAGCTTTGCCTAAGTTTTGGTTAACCTATATCTACTGAAACAGACCAAAAATTCCAGAACCTTATATTTATTGAACACAGTTCTAAAATCCAAAATATAAAAAAAAAACAACAACAACAACAACAACAAAACCTGAGTCATTCCTTCCACAGATGTTTGGCAGAGTAAATAAGATCTAATTAAATAAATCTAAGGTGATGTTCTGTGTTTACTTTAGCTGTGACAGAGAATAAAATACAGTTTACCTTGTAACATCATAAAAGTGCAATTTATAGATTTTTCTATGGCTCTAATATGACATAACAAAGTTTTCCATAATTCATTAAAAATTTCTATATCTTGAGCTGGATGTTTTCCATCCAAACTCTTTCATTGCAAATGCTGAGTAAGTGACTCTAGGTGTTTAGTTTTTAGGATATAATCTGGTTAGAATCTATTCTTCATTGCCCTGCAGCATCTGTTCCACAGTATATCTTACAATGCTGTTTTGTTTTTTGTTTGTTTCTTCTTGTTGTTGTCGGTTTTTTATGTATGATACTACCTGTACTGTTTTGATGTTCCAAGTGCTCAAAACACCTCTGTAGAATATGTTCATCTATCCAATTCAACTGCACGAAAGTATTTTAAACCGTTTCACTATGAAAATCCTCTCTCCTTATTTCTTTCTCCTATAGGAAAATGGATTTTACTTTCATGTTTCTAGCATTTTAAATATATTTTAAATTAAATTTGCTCTTAATAGACAAGTAAAAATTGTATTTATTTATGGGGTAAAATATTTTACTTTATGGTAAAATAATACACTTTAAACATTATATTTTGTAAATACTATTGTTTTAATTGTTCATAATTTAAAGCTATATTGTCATAATCAGACACATGTGTACACACAGAGAGAGATAGACACAGTAAGTAATTAGCAAATCAAGTGGGTTAGCATTTCCATCTTCTTAAAAGTTTTTAAATTTTTTGATTAGCATAACTACATATTTATGATCTATCATTATGTTAAGTCAATAAATGTTTTTATGCTACTGGAATCAGTGTAATTAATGTTTATATCTTCTTAATTACTTTGTATTTCAAGACTTTGATCTCCTTCATTGTTTTTATGCATATGTATGTTATTTAGTTATCCCACTGTTATAAAGTAGTAGGATTATTCTGTGTTTTGGTAGAAATTATCAACCTCTCCTTATCATGCTCTCTTCTGCCCTCTCTGGTCCTCTGTATTGTACATTCTATGTTCAAGTTGACCTCTGTAACATCCATGATGCACAGTCATCAGCACTGGACTAAACTAGGACCAGACAAGCTCACATTTCTTGATGAAGCAGCACATTATTAGAAAGAAACAGACTGAAAGTATGAAATAGTATATGCCTGTTATCACTTCTCATTTTTATTTCTTAGTGTTAACAACACAAATTTCAAGTGTCTGAAGGGCAAGTTGGAACAGGTGAATAATCTGTTAACTGTTAATTAACTGTTAGAGAAATTATATCAATTAATTGATAATTAATTGCATCTAGGCATATGAAGAAAATGTTAGAACTTAAGAGAAAAATGAGGAAAGAAAAGGATCCAATGAAAGAGATAATAAAAGTAGTAAAAGGTAATGTTTACAGTATGGGACAACAATTCGATTTTGGAAAGCAGAAAGTGTGAATAGAAGTTCTGAGTGTTCTTGATGTCACAATATTCATAAGAAAGCATGAAAAACTGAACTAATGTGAGTAAAGATTTTTTTGTTACCCCATTGTACAATGTGACTGAATCATAGAAGATGTTTTTTTGTTTATTAGTATATATTGACTTACTAGAAGAGGTTCTAGTTTTTGGGATATACTAAAGACCATTTTAATTCATTTAATTGGTGTGTTGAAATCATCAAGTTTTCCATAAATAGATTAATTGCTCTTACATATAGTGGTTGATTTCAAACATGTGATTATTTTGTTAGGTTTAGGATAGAGTTAAGGAAGTTAGGAAGGAGATGTAAAACACAGCACTTCTGTTTCTAGCTTTGACACTGCATTAGTTTATTTGAGCGTCCATAACAAGCCTGTTGTGCTGATCTGAAAATTGAAATTTCACACCAGTGGAAGTGGGAGCCAGGGGATTACTCCCTGTTAAGGTTATATACACAGAGCATTTTGAGGAAAGCCACTTGATCTCTAAGAACATTACAACCAGTTGGGAAAAATGGTGAAAACAATGTTCTGTGATTCAGAAAGGAAATAGTGATGGCTTGAATTAACATAACAGTAGCTAGTGTGAATTGAAGAGCGCATGCACTGAAAGAAAAGAAAATGGGCCAGCAATATGACTCAGAGCTTAAAGGTGATTGCTGTCAGACTTTGCAAGCATAGTTCAATCTTGAGTCATGGATGGTAGAAGAAGAGAACAAGTTAACAGACTCTGTTCTGTGGCTGCCACACATACATTGTGGCTTCTTTGCATCTGTACACACACACACACACACACACACACACACACACACACACACACACACACTAAAAGAATAAATAGATAATTAAATATGTGATAAATAAGTTTCCAAGATTCAAAGTAATAGAGGGGGATATTTACTGGATAATTTTCATACTCCATGCACTTCAGGTGTTTGGTACATTTTAATCATTTTAATTTTTATAAATATCTTCAATGAGACATTTAAACTATGTCATCCACATTTCATTCGTAAAATAAATGAGGTAAAGATAAGCTAATAAATCATTCCAAATTACAGCTAATTCCCAGATAGTAATAATCAGGGACAAAATTTTAACTATTGATGATGTTTGGTTCTAGAATTTACAGATTTTATTTTGCTTATTTTGTATATGTATTTTTAGAAAGAGTTTCTAATTATTTGAGTTCTATTAAGACAATTTTTAAATTTTCAGATTATGTATTTTGATCATATACATTCCAATGCGTGAGTCCTCCCAAATCTTCCCTACCTCTCTACTCACTCTATTTTATGTTCTTTCTCTTTCCACAAACAAACATATATACAAAACTGATACTCTCGAAAACAAAAACTAAAATAAACAAAATAAATCTAAGCAATGTAAAAACATCAAAAAGAAAAAAAGCCATACAAATACACACACATATAGATGCACATAGACACACATACAAACACACACACACCACCACCACCACCATCAGCAGCAACAATAACAGCAAACCAACAAACACAAATGTAGCTCATTTTTTTTGTTGGTCAATACTCCTGAGCATCAGGCCTGCTCTGGTGTATAATTGAAATATCCAGTGTCACACCATTGTAGAAATTAAAATCCTGAGTTTTCCTCTCACAGTACATACCAGTTTTAAATATTATAAATAACATCTTGCTTAGAGACGGGGTTTTGTGTCACCCCCTTCTACATGTTGGAATTTTTGTTCATTTGAACTTGTGCAGGTCTTGTGTATTCCATTTGTCTCTGTGAGTCATACTGTCTGGGATATGCTCTTTCCTTGCAATATTTCTGCATACTTTTCCCTTATGAGCTACCTAATATAGATGAATAGTCTTAACGAAATACACACATCTAAAGCTTAAAATTTAATATCCACAATAGAAGAAAACGTATTGTTGGTATTTCTGGGTGCAGGTTACCTCACTCAGTATGATTGTGTCTAGATCTATCCATGTACCTGTGAATTTCATATTTAATATTTCTTAATCACTGAATAATATTCTACTGTGTAAACACTCCAGATTATCAGGTGATGGGCATCTAGGCGTTTCAAATATTCTGGCTGTTATGAATAGAGCATCACATATGCATAAAATTATAAAAACACTTATATATGTATGCAACATTGAAGCTGAGTCTCAGCTGTAGACCAAGCAGGTATCAAAACTCACAGTTCTTCTCAGTAAGAATCCTAAATGCTGAGATTTCAGGAGTGCATCATGTAGAGTGATTATCTTTAAGAAGTGTCACTGCCCTGCCTTGTCCATGAGGCTTATGTTCCAAGATACTCCATGAATGTTGAAAGCATAGACAGCACCAAA